CGAGATTAGCGGCTTCTTACTTGGGCGACGTGCAAATAACTTCAAATCATTTAATCTTCTACTTATAGTTTTCGTAGAAACACTGACATTTCCTTTTGTCTCGATTTCGCCTTTTATTTGTCCGAAGTATACTATATACCGGTTTCAAGTTGGCTCAAATTTGACTGCAAGTCAACCCTTTGTTGTCTTTGTAGTGTTAATAACAATATCTTTCTGTCGGTGCAATCATATGCTTTAGACAAGTTCAGCGAAAACCAACTATTAGGTTTGCCTCCTCTAATTGCCATATTTCATAGTGGGTGAATAATGCTACTCATTTGGCTGCAGATTGCTGCACAGACTTATAACATGGAGTAAACTTATGTGTTATTTTACCTGCTGAATTTGTCTACTTGGCCAAAAAATCTAGATATATGTCTGATTTATTGTTCCCATCCAAATCTACATAGCAAATGGATCTTCCTCAGATTAGTCTGATCTAAATAAACAAATGATTGAGGTTTACCACACTCACCATGAAATAATAGTAATAAATATCATTAACAATAAATTTATTCACATATAAACTGTTACATTGTATTCGACATATAGGTATGTGCAAATAAACTGAAAAACTCCCACAGAAGAATTTAATTTTTGTGTCTGGAAAAACTTTATGCAATTCTTGCCTTACTATACTTGATACATACATTTAGTCACGGCATATAAACATAGTTTTTATTTATATTAATTATGAAGTAAATGGATCTGAGCAGTCTGGTGTATACAGGGTGTAAACGTTATGATAGTCATTATTTAAATGGGAGATAGAGGGGGTTGAAGGAACAAAGGGTTTCATATAACATGAGGGTCAAAACGGCATTTTTTAGAGAAAATCGACTTTAAAGTAAAATAAAACCTGGTGTGTGAAAGTTTATTGAACGTATTAAAAAATCCACTTATAAATAGGGAACACAATTTTGATACATATGTACATTGTTTTTCTTTTTAAAACCCACACTCTACTTTTTTGTATTCAAAGAAGGTGTTCAAAATGTCGTCCTACACTTTCCACACAAGCTTCATTACGACGAACCCAGTTTCTTCTTACTAGTCCTCGAAGTTGTCCATTTATTATTTCAGCCGCATTAACATTTTTTTCGCGAAGTTGTGCTCCAGTTGTTATTGGACCAGCCCCATAAACCATCCCTTTAAGTTCTCCCCAATACCAGAAATCCATCGGATTGAGGTCAAGAGATCTTGCTGGCCATTTTCGAGGATCATGAGCATTTCGACCGATCCAGCGATTTGGATAATGTTCATTCAAATACAATAACTAACCACTGTTACCGTTTGCGATCGATTGCCGGTTCGATAAGAGTGATGAATGACCGACGCGCTGTTGTCATATGTGTTTTAAATATTTAATTTAATGATACTTACTACAAATTTTGGCTTAACTTAGAAAAACTTAATGCCACTTATTTGTTATTTACCCAATTTAAAAACCTTTTAGATTAGACTATAAAAATTAGTAAGATTGTGGTCGATTGTTGTAGTTGTAAACTATAAAGCCATTTAGACAAAAATCTATTGACACTTTCAATAATGACTACAATAACGTTTACACCCTGTATATTCTAAACACACTACTTGTCATGATGTGGACTAGTATCCTTCCCCTCTATTTTGGCAGATTCAAAACGTCAAAATAAAATAAATCTTACATGGAGTAAATATGCTATATGCTTATGTCGAACTATCAGCAAAATCATTGGTCATAATATTCTACTTGAAGATAGACCTAGTACTGTATTTCGGCGACCAAAAAAATGATTTGAGATGAAATGAGGTATCCTGGTGTCGCCTACATTAAAAAAAAACACAAAACTGAAAGGTCATTATCATAACTATGAAACTAGAGGCAGTACAGATTTTCATCAGAAAAATTGTAATAGTGGCATAACTAGCAAATCAGTATTTCAAAAGGGAGTATTTTAATTTAATAAATTGAAGAATGATATTAAACAGTGTTCTAATTTAAGAATGTTTAAGGTGAAATTAAAATGAATATCCAAAATGCCTAGCAACGTAATTTTAATAGACAAGAATGCAAAATTAAAGAAAACTGAATAAAAAAATGTGTAAAAAAATAATTATACAAAATTAACATAAATAAATCTTCAACAAACAGTGCGATCTTTTCAACGTAGATTTCTAATTATTTTGGAGAGAAGACGCCAAAAATCTCAATTCATCTCAGATAATTTTTGGATGCCAGAATACAGTATGTGGTTGGATATCTTTCACGTCAATCAATGTATTCATTCTTAAGTTTTTGTTGAGTACATAGATACTTTTTCCTTCCTTTTTTTATGAGAGATAGTTCGTTTGATATTTTAAAGACTTATTCGAGCTCATATTCTGATATGCTTTTTCAAGTAAAATTCATTGATTATGTTGGCAGCTACAAGCTAGTGCTCTGTGAAGCATGACTAGCATAGTTTGGTAAATGTCTCTGATCGGACCATGTTGAAAATTTTGAAAACTGATTGCCAGAAGTCACATATTGTCGGACATCTGACAATACCTGCTATATGCAGGAACCGTAATTTTACAGGGGACGGAAAAAAACCTTATCAATTTTATACTACCGGTCTTAAGACTCTACAACTTTGGTCACAAAAATAAATGACGTTTGACACATAATTAATGCGATTTTATCGAAATGAAGCTCTGATTGACAAAATTAGTGCAGATAGCTGATATTTCTGCTAACTTCCTTTGCAGTTAGCAGATATTGTACTATGATGCATAGATGGATTTAGTGAGCTTCGTGTTAGAAAAACTGGTATCAATCCAGTATTACGACTATTCCGTCAGGAGTTCCGCAAGGCTCAATTTTGGGACCTGTGCTCTTTTTGATTTACACGTGTGGCCTGCATAAAGCAGTTGACAATTCAGGGATACAAACATTTGCTGACGATACTCAAATAATATTCCATTTCGACGCCTCAGATACGCAAAATTCATCAGACATTTTACAGCTTGATTTAGATAAGGTACATCAGTTTTCTATGGAACATAATCTTGCTATTAATCCAGATAAGACACAAGTGCTATTGTTTTGTTCTGATCAGAAGAGGAAAACTGTCGAAGATTCTTTCCATCTGACTATTGATGGCATAACATTACAGCATACTCAAACAGCTAAGGTACTAGGAGTGGAAATTGACACAAAATTAAGATTCCGCAGCCAAATAGCTAATTTGATGAAAAAAACTTACCTGTGTTCTAGGGCTCTTTATTCCAATCGCTACTTGCTTAACTTTAAGCTGAGAAAAAAACTGTGCGAATCTTTGGTGATGTCAATGCTCAGTTACTGTGATGTCGTTTATTATCCATGTTTGGATCAATTGACCAAAAATCGTCTTCAAATCATCCAAAATAACTGTGTTCGCTTTATTTGTGGGTTGCGTAAATACGATAACGTAAGTGATAAATATAGGGAATTGAACTGGCTTAGGTTAGGAAGTTTGGTTAAACATAAATTCTTAGTTTTAGTTCATAAAATAATATTGTCATCAAAGCCTGAATATCTAAGAGCTGAGTTAAGATTTAATTACGAAGTGCATGACAGTGCTGTTAGGAATCGTTATAGCATCAGAACCACCCCACACACTTCTGCATTATTCCAACGAGGATTTACATATAATGCAGCACTATTTTATAATCAGTTGGACAACAGTATTAAATTGATGTCTTTGGAAAGTTTTCGTAAACATACTAAAAGCATGTTGCTCGCTATTGATTAAATAAGCATTTCTGCTACAGATATAGATTGTGTCTATTTGTATTTTATACTTAGGTATATATGTGTTCTTTTTTTCATTGTTCTTATATTTTTTCCATGTTTTGAACATCAGATGTAACCGACATAAACAGTTAAGTGTAAGAGTAGCCTTGGCCCCTCCGGGTTATCCAATAAAGACGTTATTATTATTATATCAAATTTAAAGTTTAAAGCTTTTACAAATCAAAAAGATAATAGCATGTATTCTCATTTACCCCTTAAATGAACGTTCAGCTCCTCTCCTTGACATATGGCAAATTGTCGTAAAACATGTGACAGTCCTTAGATATAACACTTATAATCTGAAATGACGGGTAGCTGTTTTGGTCTCATAGGCAACTCCTGAGGCTCTACACTGACGTCTAGTCTCACTTCAATTTTTCCATCGGGATTATAACATAGTACTTTGATGTCCGTGACTACATTGTCCCTGCCTGGTCTAATTGTTGAGTATCGCTGCACCTCTGTTCGAGACTAGTCCTTGAAGAAGTCGTAACTCCATTGGATCACCTCATATGGCTCTCGTTTTGTCCTAGCTCCATTTGACGCCTTAACATAGTCATTTGGTAATTCAATAATTCTATTTCTCAGTTTTTTTTAAATGCAACTGTGTACAGAGTCACATTCCATTTGGGTGTGTCCTTTGGTGAGATATTTCTGAGAAATCACAACGTCGTATCTCATTGCAAAGTTAAGGAAAATAGCACGCGTAATTGTCAGATAGCTGGAATTGCCGCTCATTGACAGACGTGTTGTCAGCCGTAAGTATTGCTTTGGCTGAATAATTGAAAAACTATTTTTTTCTGCAGTTAGCGGACTCTGTCACAATGTGCGCTGTAGGTAGACGAAGAAAAAATGTGCATATACCTCAAATTGGGCAAAAGTGTCAGCTAGCAGGTATTGTCAGATGTCCGACGATATGCTGACTTGTGCATTGAATTTCGAAAAACATTCTAAGCGGCATTTTGTTGGTTACCTAAATATGCAACTTTGCTCCCATTCAAGCGACTTTTTATCTCTTACCCTTTGCGAGATTCCAATGGTGAACCACCCGGTATATCCGTCAGGGTCATCCTTAAATGTCTAAAAAGTACAACTAGTTAAAAGCAGTAGAATCAAGGAACGCTGGAAATATGAGGATATCTCTCATGTTTACCTGTTTTTTTTTTGTCGTTTTTGCACACAAGAATTCTCCCACATAAGTCGAAGGTATAATACCTACCATTCTTTATTTGATAGGTTGCAAATCTGTTGACGAGATTTAAAAATTGTCTTAAACGTTTCGTTTTATCACTATTTTTTGTGTTTTAGTGATAATTGTGATTTTTGATATTCGTACTAATATTTTGACGTATCTTATTGTCTGTATCGTATCTGTTCAAGAAAATTGATATTGAAATCGCGTCCACGTGCTTAGTTTTCCGTGTATTTTAAATTATAAAACCGGTAGTTTTCATTACATAGTGAATTTTCGCGAGAATCTTATGGTGAAAATGAAAAGCCTTAAAAAACCCTACAAGAGTAAGACAACATCTCCCGTGTGCCATTTTTCACCCAATATGGTGTTAAACAATAGAAAAAAACTGCAGAAGCCTAGAGTGAAAAGAGTTTCTTGGAGTAAGTGCTTACATAATTTTATCTATTTCGATAATTTTTTTGTATCACTTTCCATAATATCAGATCTTTTTATATTGCAACCCTACAAAAAAATTAGGTTCAAATTTGGAATACTGCAATAATAATTACCTTATTATGGGAAACGTGATATAATAACGGGTGTTTTCATTGGGTTTAAACTAAGTATAATGAAACAAATAAATCCTTAAGCAGGTTATAACTTTAATACTATATTGGATTTTGGGCAGCAGCTGGATCAAGGAAAGCTGATGCGGAAAACTCTAGAAGACCAGTTTTCGATCGCCTTGTAGGCCACAGTACGTTTATGTTTATTCATTTCAATTTGAGAGCGAAAAAGTCATTAATAATATACTAAGTGACATATAACTCCGAACACCCAGTTTAAATGGTTTTATTTTAATAAAAGTTGGTGAATGTATTTATCTTACTGTAAATAACAAGTGAAAAAATTTTCAGCCTTATCAGTTGGACATTCCGGTTTTTATACTGCTTTTTTTTTAATTCACTAACGCCCTAAAAATGAATATTTCAGCCGCAGTAAAGAATCAACGTTGGCGGATTTTGGTTCTTGACATCCTTTACGATCGGTTACGATGCCTAGAGTACGGAGACCTGTACGATTTCGTCAACTTAGTGAGTTTGATAGGGGCCGTATAGTGGGACTTCGGGAAGCTGGACTTTCTTTTCGGGCAATTGCAGTTAGAGTGCAAAGAAGTGTAGACACTGTGGTTAGGTGTTGTCAGGCATGGCTTCGAGAAGGCCGTACGCAAAGAGCAAGGGGCACTGGACGCCGCCGTAGAACAACAGACCGTGAAGATCGCCGTCTAAGATTATTGGCCTTAAGGGACCGTTTCTCCACTACCAGGTCCATTGCAAATGAATGGTTTGCAGAACACGGAAGACCTATTGGCATGCGAAGTGTTTACCGACGAATGAGAAGTTTTGGCTTGTTTTCATACCGGCCATACTGGGTCCTCCCTTTAACTCGCGAACATCGACGTAATCGCCTTGAGTGGTGCAGACAACGGTCACTCTGGGATGAGGAATGGAACAGTATTGTCTTTAGTGACGAGTCTCGATTTTGTTTAGGCATGCACGATGGTCGTGCCAGGGTTAGAAGGCGACGTGGTGAAAGGAGGAATCCACAGTTTTTTGTTGAAAGACATGTTCATCACACTGTTGGAGTTATGGTTTGGGGTGCTATAGCTTATGGTTCCAGGTCACCTTTAATCTTCATCAGAGGTAACATGAACGCGCAGCGTTATATCCACGAAGTTCTAGAACCCCATCTTTTACCCTATCTTGACACCCTGGCAGATCCAACTTTCCAACAAGATAATGCCCGACCACATGTTGCAAGAGTCACAATAGACTTTTTTCAACAGAATGATGTCACATTGTTACCATGGCCACCAAGATCTCCCGACTTATCCCCAATTGAGCACGTGTGGGATATGATGGGTAGGAGATTGCTCAATTTGCAACGTCCTTCTCAGACTCTAGAAGCACTTCGAGAGGAGTTGGTGGTTGCCTGGAATGAGATACCACAGGAGGACATTGACCACCTGATCACATCAGCACATCAGGGTGCATCCACACATTATTAAAGGTCAAAGGGCTTTAAAGCAGTGCAATCATTTTGAAATTTTTATCATTTACTTATTATGCTTCATTAAGTACTTATACAAAATTTTATTAAAATAAAATCATTTAAACTGGGTGGTCGGATTTATGTCACTTAGTATACATCTATAGTCCTCCCCATCATATTGACAGGCAGGCAGGCATCACTTTAAGGAAATATGGGCCACTTAATGATTTCGCTTCTGAACGAACCTGAACATTTAAACGGATATCAAAAAATTAAGACGTACTTGGCGAAAAACTTATAATTTCAGCCTCCGAATATATTTAAAAAACAATCATTCATGTTGTGTCACAAGCTTAAAATACCATGTTGGGATATTGGATATCTTGCTGAGCCCCCATATTACATTTCTTACGGAATACATATTATATGTACATATAAAAATCTGAAAAACCTAGAAAATCGGATTTGACTATGCTTAAGGTAAGGTACAAGAACTTTAGTGCGTGCTAGTTTAGTTAAATATTGTCTTCTATATTGGATGACATTAAAAATGAATCTTTCGTACCCTAACAACTTGTTGGGACTGCCTTTTGTATGATCAACTTTCTTCAAAGTAAAAAAAAAAACGTTTAGTCGAAAACGTATCAATCGGCTGCTTTTTATCCAAAAACTCTGAGTATGAATGAATGAATCAAGAAATAGAAGCATACTATTTTTGATAAAGTCATTGTTTATCGTTGATATGACTTCAGGTGACTTGCAAAACGGCACACTTTAGCGATAAGCTGTTTATACTGACACACAATATCAACAAGGTCTTTTACCTTTTGTTGAAATTCCATCGAAAACGTGTCCTGAAAGTTGTGATTTTCCGTTTCAGAGGCAACTACGTTTGCGGCAAAACAACACCGTAAACGTAAAGAAGCCATTGAAGAAATATACTCACTACTCACTACTCATTTGGTAAAGAATTTCAAGCGCTGTCCTCTCACATGTCTTGTTTGTACACACTGCTTGAAGTTGTCGCTGTTCGATTCAAAAACTCGAGTTTGCTTAACTCTTCCTTTTGCAATATTTGGGGCTGTCTAGGTCTTCAATTGTATCCAACCAGACGGCTTTTTCACAATATAAACAAACATAATGCAGCACTGGCGTAAAACACATCGATGGCGACGGCGACGTCTGAGTACGGTCAATAGGATCCTGAAGATGTTCATATAAAATCGATATACCATGTTTTGGTCAATAAAGGCGCTTATTATTATTATACAATATTATTACTACGTTATTGCTCTAGGAATGTGCCAATTTCGGCTTTTCAAATGAGGTTTGTTTATAAACTAACCTAACCTAGACACCGCGCGACGCCTGATTTGGATACTGACTCGCATATTCTTAGTACATCATACATTTTGACGTAAGAGGGGATTGTGGGGGGAGAGAGTGGCAGGGTCGTACTAGTTGATTTATTGCTTTTTGGAACCTAATGTAAAGTTACAACTTTGAGAACAGGTATAGGGTGAAATTTATTGCAGTTTAGGTCTCTATGACGCCTTGGACGAGATACTAATAAACACGTTACTTTATCAGCAACATAGCAACGCCTTCCTTAGGTTGACATCCGGTTTTCTCTCTGTTCCAGGAGACCAACAAATGGACGGCGTTAGCTTGACCTCGGAGGTAGGCTCGATGGGTTCCGGGGGCGGCGGCGGCCCCCTGCAGGACCCCGCCATCCTGATGGTGCGCGAAACGACCACCGCCAACAAGAGCATCATCAGGTATTCGCGCGAGCAGCTGCTCAAGCTTAGAGATGTGCCGGCGGCCAAGAAGAGGCCGGATTTCCTTAACACCAATGATACGTAAGTTAAATAATCCGACCACTCTAGGCCGAGATTCAAACAAGGATATACATATTTTACATACAGTATCATCGTGAATTAACTTACGAACTTCAACTGAGACCCCAATGTAAGATCCTATTAGGTTATTTTGACGTTTCCGAATAATTTGTAAGATGTGTCTATTATGTGAGCGAAAATGGATGTTGATCGTCATCATCATTTAACAGAGGAGCATTTACACAAAAAGTGAGCTATAGAAAATATCTCTCTACATAAATAATCTAAAATGGATGGCAATATTTCTGCCGCTTTTACTGATAGAATGGCAAATACATCTAATCAATTGTAGCTTGGAGTTTTTTTTTAATAACAAGGTATAAAGAGAATTATTGCATCCACATAGGTTGTGCCATAAGTCCCTAATGCAATCATATTTTTAATATCTAAGCATACACTTTTTATCAATTGTTTTAGGGCAATTTCTAAATTTTTTTATTTACGAATGCTGTCATCTTCACGTTGCCGAAAAAGTCTAGATTTTTTATTTTTTAAAAATCGTAATTCTTCGCAACACTAGCTCAACTTAAATCATTGTAAAGAGAAGCCTCGCAGATTCCGACCACTAAACAAATTCCACTAGCTCACATGATGTCGTACATAGCTTCTTTTTCCTTTGAGTATGGAAACACTGGCTAAGGATAAGTTCCAAAATTTGATACGATTCTCATTTACAGGAGTTCGCTGCCCATCTTCGATCCGGATCGTTGGAACTTCGATAAGCGCAAACCGTCAAGTGGTAACAACACCGCCCCTTCGGAAGGGGAAGGGGCGGATTCCCAGCAGCGGGGGACCATCGCAAACCGTCGCTCGACTGCCGATCCTCGCGAACGATTGCGCAAGGAGTGCGTCGGAGGTAACTTAGTTTATTTAGATTTAATATGTTTTTAATACGAAATGCCAAACAAATAAGTACGAAAACCAAAATATTTGCTACTGTGGACCATCCAAGAATCTCAATTTATCGAACATTTGCCGTAGATTTACACACAACATAAGACACTCGCCCAACTTCAGTTTGTTGACCTTTTAAGCATCGAAGACAACGTAAAACGTCCTAGGATCTAGTAGTTTTAATTAATGTGGCAACCATGTACGGCACTGTCATTATTTGACTTGTGACGTAACTGCTTTGATTCAGAGAATATACTGTATATCATATTTGCTAGATACCGCTCGCAAAAACGATATGAACTAATACTGTGAAGATATCCAGCATAAGAAACAGCCCAGCAGTTCTATGCGAAACTCAAAAATGCATTTTACATAACTGTATTTATATTGTTGGCGTAGGTGGAGGAGATGGTATCGTTTTGAGTCCTCAACGTCGTAGTTTCAACTCTGGCTGCTTCGTACCCGCTGGTCGTCAGGGAACTACATCAAATACCAGTCAAGGAGCGGGTCAAGGAGGCGGTCAAAGTGGCAGGTCTCATAGTCCAGTAGGTGGAAAGGGGGCTGGGGACGGCCATCTCGGTGAGTTGTAATTTTGTCTACGAAATGTGAAATTCATTGCATATGAAATAGTTGTTTTCAAGTTGTTTGTAATTTAAATATGCATTTATTGTACCATTAAGGAGTACATCGTAGCTGTTCCAATAAATCTAGCTTACAACAGAAGTTTAAGGAAATTGCATTGCTCATATTATGTACAGTAGCGGACAAAAGTTTGGAAACATACTTGGTTATTTTTAGAAAGTGCGCTAATTTTTCATTCTTTATTATTAAGGACTATTTTTTTCTCATATAGTTTGCTTACAGTCTTGAGCAAACAAATGGCAATATGTGTTTGCTGTGGTACTACAGACTAGCATTAAAATACCTTCATATTATTTTATGATCTAAAATGAGACGACGAAAGTATGGAAACGTATTTTTTATTACAAAATTAAATAGAATAACTCTACAAAAAGATACAAAAAATACTGTGTACCTAATATTTGGTAGCATAGCTTTTAGCATTCAACACTGCCTGACATCTGCTGCTCATAGAAGACACCATTTTTTACAGACGTCTGTTGGGATATTTTGCCAGATATTTTTTACATTATCAAATAAATCGTTTCTATTTTCAAAGTTTTTCTTGTCAGTTGTCTTTTAACATGCTCCCAGAGGTGTTCTATATGGTTTAGGTCCGGGGATTGCGAAGGCCACGTAACATTAACATTTTTTGGTCTTAACCTGTCCTTTACTAATTTTGAGTTATGCTTGGGGTAATTATCTCGTTGGAATGTCCATCGTAAAGGCATTTCTTTTTCAGCAAAAGGGAGCATGTGTTCACTAGGAATATCTTTCTAAAATTTTTGATCCATTTTCCCAACAATTTTAACAATTGGACCCGTTCCAGTACTAAAAAACCGTGCTTAACTGTTGTCAACTGATACTTTTTGTCGAATCTTTTTCGTATTGGAAGTCTCCGTACCGTCAGATCCAAACAAATAAATTTGCTTTCATCGCTCCATAAAATTCAAGCTGAGCAATACGATTTTTTTTAAAATGACAGGCTTTTGCACTATACGCGTACCAAAAAGCCCAAAATCTACCAAGCGTCTCTGCACTATTCTGACATAAAGATTCTCGGCACCCTCTTCAACGATTCTTTGAAAATGTGGCGGGCATTCGATGATCTTCATGGGACAAACGTTTAATGTAGCGATCCAAAACATAATCGGTTTTTTTCGGTCTTCCGCTCCTGGGCCGCGTTGCTTTTGATCCGTACCTATTCTTGATATTTACAAATAATTTTCGAAATCGTCCCTTTGTTTATTTTTAATCTTTGATAAATGTCAAGATTTCTGACACCCCTTCTAAATAATTCAATTACTTTGTCTCATAAATCTTTTGAAAACTCTTTTACTTTTGCCATTCTCACTGATGTTAATATCTACCGCACGCAATGTCAGAGTATCGCAGAACGAATAAATACGGCAGAACTGAAATGTAACCATACTTTTGTCGTTACAAAATCCGTATTTAAAAAACGCGTTTTTATTTTCAGAGAATTTGAATATTGATAAGATACACCTTGTATTAGTACGGGTGGACTTTGATATTTATATCATCTGTTCCTTCACAATTTTACTTTAGGTATATGAAATAGTTCATAACAACGTTAATATTTGTTTCCAAACTTTTGTCCGCTACTGTATATAGGAAATGTCGAGGGAGGCTTGCAACAACGCACATTTTGTTGCAGGTTTGCGGGAGATCCAGACGGGCGCTCCACCATCTGGCGGCAATCGACGTATAGGTAGTGGTCGCATTTTACGGGACTCCTCCTGGGACTATCCCGATAAGCAGCAGTCGGACGCTGGAGACGACTACGTCGCCTCCTCGAAGTACGAAAGGCGCAGCTTTGGCGGCGGCTTTGACAGGGACCGCGATAGGGACAACACTAAGGACAGGCGGAACAACGGAAGGTGCGTTGAAATTACATAGCATTTACGAAGACTCCGACCGGTTAAGAAACATTGGGAAAGACCAACAGAGTAATGAGGGAGCCGATAAGTGCTGATCTATCTCTCATCGCATCTGAACCAGTGTATGGCATGTATAGCGTTGTACGAGCCACTGACTCTCATTGAGAGGTGGGACAAGCAGTGTTGCCCAACCAAAACAGACGTAATCGGTGATAGTGTTGTTGGTATTCGGTAGATTCAAGGATAAAATCGATAGGAGGAAACAATTCCCTGATTGTCGTCGCAATATAATCGACCAAGGGCTTTTACGTCACGCAGCGCCGTCTAAGAAATGAGTTAATTTCTGTATTCCGCGCGTATGCACACATTTATATGTCACTTAGTATACACCTCTTATTGTCACTGGCGAGCGTTATCGTCATATGGACGTATTTTACTTAATTTCACAAATATTCAAGCTACAAATGAGTCAGTTACTTATCGGCCAGCCCGTACTTGTCGGTCGAATCACATGTGACCCGAGATTAAAATACCAAGTCTCAGTAGTGTGGCTTCATGGATCAGTTGAACTTGATTCACCCTATATCTAACTTGACCTTTTCTTCAAGGTATGGAAGAAAGATATCTGAGACTAGGGAAATGGAAGAGCCTGAATGGTTCTCGAGTGGCCCTATGTCTCAAAACGATACCATCGAGCTGCGAGGTTTTGAGGACGAGAAGCCTGTGACCAAGAAAAAAGTGCCTCCATCAAGTTTAAAACGCCTGGAGAAGTGGTCGAAAAAGAAGGATAGTCAGCAGGAAACTATCGATGAAAACGAAAGCGTCTCTTCTGCGTTGCAGGTATGGACTCTCAAAAAACTATCAACCTGTTTTGCGAAATTTTGGTAATGCACATAATCAGTGTCTTAACAAAAATCTTCTTTTTATCTCAGTGATGATAGGGTCAAAATAACGGATGGAGCAATCAGAAGAAATTTAACAGGAATATACAGGGTGTCCCAGAAGTCGACGTCAAGCCGAAACCGGGTGATAGGCAAAGTCATAACAGCTATCAGAAAAATATTTAAAAAAATTTTATGTATGCCTTTTGAAAATTATAGGTCTTTGAAAAAGATATAGAAATTTCACACCCTACGGCAGTCTGTCAACTCCTTTTACTACAAATATTAACTTTTTTTGGATTTTATTTTTACAATGAAATGATGAATAATGCATCTTCAAACTGGTGTCTCAACCTTACTGCCAACTTTTCTCGTTCAGGAAAAATTGACACTTATTTCCCAACCAAGTATTCCAAAGTAAAACTTTGCTCAACTTTAACTGGCTGTACTGGAAAAAATGTACTACGAGAGTTTGGCAAGTAACCTTAAAAGTTGGCGCATTTAATAACGATTCCAAAGTGGTATAACACTTAAAAGATTACTCGTTAACTTGTGCACAATTTTTATTTGAAAAAAAACTGATGAAAATTTTTCAAAATTTCCTAATTAAACAGCGATTATGAAAACGCACAAGGACCCTTAAGGATAACTGTTTGCACAACAGTGGGCGTCAAAATGCTGCTGATGATGATTTACCTTTACAGCAAATGCTTAAACTGTTTTCCTTCAGCCGCAATACACGCTCGACATCTTAAAAAAGATCGGGTTATTAAACGAGCGAATCCACGGTTATTAACAAACTCAGCTGCTTCCAATAGTCTTTGCCGTAGCTCAGCTACATTTTGAATCGGCTTGGAATACACTTTTTCTTTTACAGTTCCCCAGTAAAAAAATCTAAAGGATTCAAATCAGGTGATCGGGCTGGCCACGGTATTGTACCAGACCGCCCTATCCATCTGCCTGGAAAGTTTTGATCGAGATACTCTCTCACTGAGAGTGCATAGTGCGCTGGGCAGCCATCATGTCCCTGTAAATACTCAGTGGCACGTACACCAATAAATTTTGTACATGATTTTTCAAAAAATCCAAATAAACTTCAGCAGTCAAAGTCTCTGGGAACTCAAACGGACCGATTATTTTACCATTTAAAATGCCTGTCCAATGGTTTATCTTGAAGCGATATTGAGATTTATCTTCTCTCATCAAATGTGGGTTTGCTACGTGCCACTCGTGTAAGTTATGCAGGTTCATGTACCCATCTTTCTTAAATGTGGTCTCATCGGACCATAATTTTTTTTCAAAGAACTGTGGATCTTTCCTGTGTCTTTCTAACATTGAGCGACAAAAAGCAACTCGGGGCTTATAATCCCGGGGCAGGAGAGGTTGAACACGCTGTATGTGGTATGGATGGAGCACGTAAAAGAAAAAGTGTATTTCAAGCCGATTCAAAATGTAGCTGAGCTACGGCAAAGACTATTGGAAGCAGCTGAGTTTGTTAATAACCGTGGATTCGCTCGTTTAATAACCCGATCTTTTTTAAGAAGATGTCGAGCGTGTATTGCGGCTGAAGGAAAACAGTTTAAGCATTTGCTGTAAAGGTAAATCATCATCAGCAGCATTTTGACGCCCACTGTTGTGCAAACAGTTATCCTTAAGGTCCTTGTGCGTTTTCATAATCTCTGTTTAATTAGGAAATTTTGAAAAATTTTCATCAGTTTTTTTCCAAATAAAAATTGTGCATAAGTTAACGAGCAATCTTCTAAGTGTTATACCATTTTGGAATCCTTATTAAATGCGCTAACTTTTAAGGTTACTTGCCAAACTCTCGTAGTACATTTTTTCCAGTACAAAGTTTTACTTTGGAATACTTGGTTGGGAAATAAGTGGCAATTTTTCCTGAACGAGAAAAGTTGGCAGTAAGGTTGAGACACCAGTTTGAAGATGCATTATTCATGATTACATTGCAAAAATGAAATCCAAAAAAAGTTAATATTTGTAGTAACAGGAGTTGACAGACTGCCGTAGGGTGTGAAATTTCTATATTTTTTTCAAAGACCTATAATTTTCAAAACGCATACATAAATTTTTTTTAAATATTTTTCTGATAGCTGTTATGACTTTGCCTATCACCCGGTTTCGGCTTGACGTCGACTTCTGGGACACCCTGTATAACGTTTATCCGTAGTTTAAAAGTTTTTAATGTTATAGCGCAGTTCTTAACTTATATTTTTATAGATCGATAGAAATATTTTAGGACTGAAATCACAGTTCTCTAAAAGGTAAAAATCAGTACTTATTACTTTTCCGAATGTATAAAATAATTGGGTCATGAATGAATGCTGACTTATTTTTTTTTTCAGGCCAATGCGGAAAAAGATGCGCAAAAAGATGGAAGTGAAGAGAAAGAGGTTAAACAGGCTGTGGATAGAAAAAAGGAAGATAGCGGAAAAGATGATAGTAAAGAAGGTGACAAGCACACAGTGAATAATGAACAGGGTTTCAATTTCGATGATATACTTGAGTGTCAATCCATTGCTGGGTTACTGCCTGTAAGTATAGATCAAAAATCATTGATAAGTGCTTGCATAAACATATATTAAGTTTCTTGAATCGTTCTAATATTTTGTCAAATAGCCAGCATGGATTTAGAGCTCTATAGAAATGGCGACCTTTGACTTTTTTCTTATTTATATTTATATGAGGATATAGATAGAAGTAGGTATTTTGTTGGACTGTTCTTTGATCTATCGAAAGCCTTTGATATGATGGATATTCCATTTCTCGTGCAAAAATTATACAGCATGGGTGTTAAGGGTTCCATCCTCGATTGTATCTAGAAAACTAAAGGCCAACGTCATTGGTCGTATGACAACCCTATACAGGGTGATTCGCAAGTCGTGACCAAAAATGAAACAGGACCGCATTTTAAGGGGGTCTTCTATGTAACATTTTTTCTTCGAGGGTTGGTTTAACAATAAAAAACAATTATTTTTAACATCTTCAAAATTGTCAACTGGAATGTGGATATACCTAAGTATTGTCCATAACTATTGAAAAACCCTTTACAATGATATGAGTTATTTATTTACTCTTTCTTGCAGAATGGAGTAGGAAACGAAGCTGAGGCTCAAGCCAAGTCAAGATTCAGTCGCTGGTTCAAGCAAGATAGCCCCGAAAAGCAGTCACAACCCAACACAAATCCTAGTCGCCATTCCTCCTTACCTTCTGAGGATGATCATAACCTGATCATAAAGGCAAGTAAACAGTAGTTAGCCTAAAAATGTAATGGTAGGTAATCTGGAAAGAATTACAGGGCGCTAGTTAGGTTCTTCTCTTTTTTAATTAATTGGACAATATTATAATTGTGTAATTTTTTTTTCTTGAAATAACTCGAAATCGGGGTCCAAATTCTGTATGTAAAAGATACTTATTTTACGCAACGTTTTCGTCATTTAACCAGCACTGTAGCTCTGACCATTTTTTAAATCCTTTAAAAGCTGCGGTAACCAGCTAACATTAAGCAATGTGTTGATGCACTTGTAACATACAGTAGCGGACAAAAGTTTGGAAACATTCTTAGTAGATTTTAAAAAGTGCGCTAATTTTTATTGTTTATTATTAAGGACTATTTTTTTCTCATATAGTTTGCTTACAGTCTTGAGGATACAAATGGCAATTTGTGTTTGCTATGGTACTACAGACTAGCATTAAAATACCTTCATATTACTTTATGACCAAAAATGAGACGACAAAAGTATGGAAACATATTTTTTATTACAAAATTAAATACAATAACTCTACAAAGAGATTTTAAAAATTAGAGTTTAGCTAATATTTGGTAGCGTAGCATTTAGCATTCAACACTGCCTGACATCTGCTGCTCTTAGAAGTTTTTTACAGACGTCTGTTGGGATATTTTGAGAAATATTTTTTACATAATCAAAATCGTTCCTATTTTTGAAAGTCTTTCTTGTCAGTTGTCTTTTAACATGCTCCCAGAGCTGTTCTATCGGGTTGAGGTCCGGGGATTGCGGAGGCCATGTAAGAACATTAACATTTTTTAGTCTTGAGCAGTCTTTCACGAATTTTGAGGTATGCTTAGGGTCATTACGTATATTGTTTTTTATGGGGTTATTCGTGTCTACATCAATAAACCAAGTACACTCCGTCAACTAAAAGAAAACATCAACAGAGAGATGTCGGCGATCTCGCAGTCTTTGCGCCGACGAGTATTCGAAAACTTTGGTACATGCTTTGAAGAGTCAAAAAATCGTAACGGTGGTCATTTAGATGATATAATTTTCAATAAATGAATTCCAACTAATTAGCTTTCTTGTGAATAAACAATTTTTAAAATATGTCAAATGTTTTTTCATACGATTTTTTCAAATATTAACTAATTCATGGCCCGTGCGGTTTTGTGAGAAGGTTCTGTGTGCCTTGACCTTCTGATGTCGAGCAGAGTCGAACGATTAGAAATATATTCTATTTTGTCAAACAGGACCTGCTGAAAGACATCTCCGAACCCGCTGGCCCTCCAGGCGACTCGGAGGCATATTTCGCACCGATCTCGCCAGCGGGCAACAACTCGATGGGAGCAGGGCCGCCGTTTGGTGCGGGCCAACCTCAAGGCAGACATCCCCATCACCAACAGCAATTGGCGCCGCAACAGCAGGGACAAGGACTCAGCATCATGGATCTGCTAAGGGCTGGTGGAAACAAGGGTGCACAGCAACAACAGCATCAAGCGCAGGCGGGACATCAGGCGGCGGTTGAAATGCTCAAGCAGCCACGTAAGTTGATATTGTCCATCTTGTGTAACTGTATTTAAATAATTTATAGATGGTGTCGCAATAGTCCATGGAGTACCACTTATTTTTAGACTCAAAATAAGTCGATTGGGCATGATTTACCACTGTGCAAAAGTACAGGGTGCGTCATCTATTATTTTTTTTTCTAGTTGAAAAATCAACACGCTTTTTACGAGGTGAAATCATTTTTTTTTATTGATAAATAAAGATTGGTTTATGCCATTTATGTATGAAAAATAACATCAGTCATGTGACCACCGAAACTTCGTTTACAGGCCAACCTCCGAATATCAAAATTTTCAATGACTTTTCGCAGAATAATCGGGTCTATGGCCGCAATTTCAGTCCGAATATTGCGCTTTAGATCTTGAATTGTCCGGGGACCATTCGCATACACTTTTCCTTTCAAAAATCCCCAAAGAAAATAGTCAAGAGGTGTTAAATCGCACGATCTCGGGGGCCAACTGACATCTGAATTTCGTGAAATTGTGCGGTCTTGGTACGTCTTTCGAATCGTATTTAGTGGGAATAAATTTTGAATTGTCTCGTATTTTCTAACCTTGTTCCAGCAATTGCGGGTAAAATTTTGAGTTTGGACGAGCTAGAAGCAAAAATAAGACAAAATGCTGAGGCCTCATCTGGAATTCCACAGAAGCACGTGCAGCAGCATCCTCCGCAGAAGCCTGATGAAGACATGACAGCGGCCTTCAAAAAACTGGTAAGTAGCATTTAAACAAATTAATGTTGAGGCTTATTTTGGTTTGCATTGTGAAGCAATATCTTGTATTAATAAGATTCGTTTTATTTTTCAGTTAGCACAAGCACAAGCTGGTGGCCATCCTGCGGCCTCCAATGGGCCTATGAACAAACCTCAGCCTATGAGTCTCCTGGAGGTAAGTAAATCTTGGCGTTTTGAAGGCATACTTCATTGATATCAAAAATCGTGCATGTGCTGACAAAGCTAATTTGCTTGATCATGTCTCGCAGTTTTTACGATTATCTCCTTTTTCATGAATAAATTTTAATATTATTTTCGCTAGCTTCCCTTCTCTCCCAGTCCCGCAAGATGACGGCAAACAGCTGATAACCCAAGCTAAGAAAAAGGAAAGACATAAAAAAATATTCTAAGTACTCGGCCTTAAATATTGGTCACTGAAATCGGAGTGAATAAGGTTAGGCATCCACATTTTTTTCACACCGCAGTAGCCGCGCAGGTAGAAGCCTAAATGCCAGGGCAACGCGGCTGTTCTGACTTTGTTAATCCGATTTTCTAACTTCCCAAGGTTAGTAGAACTGGGGGGAGGGGAACTAGGTACAAAGGAGCGGTCATTGTGGATGTACGAAGTTAGACACGGTTAGGATGGGAGCCAAAGTCTGGCAGGCTCAACACGTAGAGTGCTGTCAATAGCAAAGCCGTGGATTGGATTGATTGTACGGGAAAGGAGGGTTATCTAAGAGGAACAATGTCGGAGCCAAGACCGATCCTTATAGAACACCCGCGTTGACGTTGTGGGATGAAGAGAACTCGTCATTTATAACGGATATATTGCGGCCAGGTGATACTCCAGAACCTCGCGATTTATGCGCCTCTCCATTACCTTATAACAGAAAGCAGAGCTATAGGCGTGTAGTTGCAGAGGTCGGTGTTAGATTCTTTTATGTATGGGTATCGTTCATCCTGGCACGTAAGTGGTGGAAGGCTACTCTGCCAGCAGCTCCTTTCAATCGTCCAGAAAGACCGACTGCCATTGCGCATGATAAATTTTGAGTAACTTGCTTAAACCAATGTTTGTTTGCAGATGTTGAACCATTCCCAACAGCAAGACGAAGCCGCCCGGATGGCCGCTGTCCATCACCAACCACACGCCGGCGCCCATCATACGACGTCGTCGGCCGCCGCCCATCACAACCTCATGGGCGGTCCGACCAGTCCTGCCGCCCCGTCGGCGTCGTCTAACGTCAATTCGATGCATCACCTGAACGAGCTGACGCTCAAGCTGCAACAGGCGCAACAGTACCACCAACAGCAGCAGCAGAAGCAGCAGATGGAGATGTTCAATAAGCTGATCAACGCGGCTACAAGTGCTGGTATGTTTTAAGTTCATCTGTGTTGCCTATTCGTCATTGTCTGTCAGAGCGGTCCGTAGGTCCTTTACTCTTGGTTAAAGTTTCGTAAGGTCTGGTTGCTCAGATGCCAGACGAAGTCGGGGAGAAATTAGGAAAGAAGAAAGGAGGTGGAGCAGAGGGTAGAAAGTGTGTTACTTTAGCGTCTTGGCATTGTTTATTAGTATTCGGGAATTTTAAGTTTATTCTAAAATTAATTTAGAGATTGGTTGTTGTAATTTTGTCCTAAAATCGCACGATTTAATTTTGTTCACAGTGTGAGCCGCCGTATTGTGCGCTTGCTCGATTGTTCACTGATTCGCGCAACAAACGGTTGCTGAGACTATAATGTAGCTGCGCTTGTTTGACGTAGTCCCTTAGATAAGGGATTTCAAGGTCTCTGTGAAGGGTCTCATTGGAGACATACCATTGGGCGTTAGCGATTCTACGCAAGGTGGTGTTCCGCGAAACTTGCCGAGAAAACACCAAGTCGCACATGCGCAAGTGATTACTGATCTACCACCGACCTGCGTCTTCTTAAAAATTGACATTTTTTCGTCTTAAATCGGATATTTTGTACCTCATGTCTTAAACATCCCCAGTAAAAAATCCAAAGGGTTCAGGTCTGGGGAGCGTGGGAGTCACAAAATTGGTCCTAGACAGTCAATCCATCTTCTAGGAAATGTTTCATCAAGATACCTCCTTACTGCACTAGCAGGGCCCCATCTTTCTGCAATCGCATCCTTCTTGTCTTAAGAGGCACATCTTCCAAAATAATGGGAGTAAGATGTTGCAAAAAATCTAAGTAAATGTAAGTTTTTAAGATCATTTGCCGATTCAGTCTGTTACATTTTTTTTCACAGTAATTGGTCAAACTTTAGTAAAGGTTTTACATTGAAACAAAATGTAATAATTTTTTTTAGCATACCGTGCTAGTTTTCAATAAAATGAACACTCGGTTGTCGCAACCAACTATTTATGGTAGCTCAGGAAGAAACATCAGTTAGAAATTCTGTATCGCCATAGCAAAAAAAAAAGGAGCAAAAAGTAGTCATTTTTTGAAAAAACTTAAAAGTGGCAATAACTCGAAAACTAGAAAACTTTTACTAAGGTAATGTTGATTTTATCTGATTGATCTGCAGTCAATCTACCTCCCGTGTCACTCCGGCGTGTTTTTTCTGGGACACGCTATATATGACAAAAGATAGATAACACATGATTTTGACGGATTCCTGAAGTTGCGTCCTTTCATTGTTGCAGGCCAAGTGAGACTCTCGCCACTACAACATGAACTAGGACTACAACAAAGCAGGGAATTGTTGAATCGACCCGAGGCACAGGCTATTTTACAAGGTGAGCTGTGAAATGTTTGCTTTTTGATAGGGTTATGTGTAAAATTTTTTAAAATACGAACTTATTTCAATTCAATACGGATGTATACAAGAAACGGTTGATAGGTATGACGTTTCACGGTGAATGCTTTTTTATATTGAAGTTGTCAGCAACCCAAAAGGTCCAAGGCTTAAATACTGCGGGCTTATAACAGTGTTCTTGAATTAACCCTACTGAGCAGGGCCGTGGCAAAAGCTTGTTTCGTAAATTGTAGCAGTTAGTATACAACTTCTTCCCATTCAAGCAATTGCACAAGCGTCAAGGCATAACTCCGTACCGATTGCCTGGTGGCGGCAGCTTTTTCAATATTTCCACACCTAAGCTATATAGACGGTTGTGTCTTTTCCACCTTACTGTTCTCAACAAAAAATTGTGATGGATCCTCCGAGTACTAAAAATTCCGTACGCAACCTCGGAATGTCCGGGTGGAGGGTGGAACACGAGGGAACGACATCGGCGATAAAATCTCGTTCACGAACACTTGCGGGATTAACAACATTAATCTGTTGACCACTATCTTTAGTTAAAACGTCACGACATGCTTTAATTGATGAAGACCAAAACCTCCGATTTTGCACTGACTAACAATCTTCGTTTTTCGAACTACGAGGTGTACCCCAATTTGAGGGGAATTCGCGGCTTTTGTCTACAGCAATCTCTCCTGGTCCAGAGATGCCTCTTTGGAATCAGGCCGGAAGGACCTTCTCAATTCCAGCGTCATTAACCAAAGTTATCCATTTTGAGTTGGAGGAATACATCGGTGACAGCTCCAACATTGTTCCTAATACATGACCTTATTTCCTGTACGATCAATCCAGTCCATAAGTTAGCTGATGACATCATTCTACGTGCAGAGATTCAGGGTACCAATCCAATCTCGGCCGCATTATTTCTAGAACACAGTGTTGTGCCGCCCCCACTATATCGTCCATAGTCGATGCTGCTCAGAGGAGGGCTGTGCGACCGAGCGGTGACACTTCTCTAACGGATAGTCTCGGGACACTGTGGCACCAACTGGTGCTACCGCTCCTTTGCTCCTAGGGTGTTAAGATTGTGGAACAATTTGCTTGAGGAGGTGTATCTCACCTCCTCATACGAGGGATGTCCTTTAAGTTTTGCATATGGAAATAAAACTACACGGTAGGTAGTTTTAAATGACTTTATTGTTTTTCGAAGTATTCTCCACGAAGATTAATACACCTCTGCATGCGCTCGAACCAATTTTCGAAGCACTTATTCCACTCGTTTGCTGGCAGATCCAAAACGGCATTTTTGAATGCGTCAATTGCTTCTTCTGGTGACTGGAACCTTTGACCATGCAGTCTGTTTTTAATTTTCGGGAAAGTAAAGATATCGTTAGGACTTAGATCGGGGCTATATGGAGGATGGTTCAATAATTCCATGTTTTCTCCCGTTAAATACTGCCTTGTTTTTTGGGCTCTGTGTGCGAGCTTGCATTGTCTTGGTGGAGGATGATTCTTCTTTCGGGGTTGATTTTTCGAAGCTCGGTGATGACTTTTGGCAAACAAATGGTGGCATACCAATGCGCAGTAACAGTTCTTTGCTCATTAAGAGGAATTGTTGCAATATGATCCGCTTTTGACACAAATGTCGCGACCATCTTTTTCAAAACACTTGGAGAACGGATGACTTTTATTGACCTTTCTTCACCTTGGAACACCCAAACAGCCGACTGTCGTTTATTTTCTGGTTCATAACAGTTCATCACCACTAACAATGCTTTACACCTTTTTTGAGTTTCCGGAATTGAAACGGTCAAGCGCTTTTGACACCAATTTACCCTGGCTGCTTTCTACTCTTCCCTCAACAGGTGGGGTATCCAACGAGAAACTAATTTTCTTACTCCTAATTCTTCATGTAAATTTTTTTGAATAGAGGTCTTTGAGATCTTCAAGGACACCTCAATATCGCGATATGTCACATGTCTATCTTCAATGATGAGTTTGCGCACAGCATCGACGTTTTCCTGGTTGACTGCCGTTTTTGGTGCACCCACTCTGGGATCGTCGCTAAGACTCGCCCGTCTGTGTTTGTATTCTCCATACCAACGGGAAATTATCGACTGACGTGGCGCTTCGTTGCCGAAAACAGACAGAAACTCAACAAGGCATTCTTGTTGCGATAATTGTCTCTGAAAGTTGTAATAAATTATGGCGCGAAAATGTTCTCGGTTGAGTTTCATTTTTCTAATGACTTGGTGACACTTAAAAATTCACTGTAGTGCACGTATTGTTGTGAAACTTTGAATTTAAGTTTACTAAAGAGTGAGGTTAAGATTCAGTACTGACGTTCGATCCGCGCGGCCTACTATGTTTCTATATGCAAAACTTAAAAGACATCCCTCGTAACAGTTCTAGTGCCCCTGTATTTAGGCTTCTGCGTACGCTTCAATGCAAAAAACAGCTGTTCGACCCTGGATTTATCTTCGCCTTCCTTTCTAAGATAATCTTAATTATAATAAACTAGTAATGATTCCATTGAAATCGATTTTTTCAACGCATGTAAAACAGTTTGATCTTATTCAATAATGATTGCATCCGCTGTTGATATATAACAGGTTAATGTGTGATGTAATTGTAGGTAATGTAAAAATCTAAAAATTACAGAATTTATTTAGCTGATTATCGAAGGCATACATTAGATTTGAAAATATTGTGATGAATTTCACCAGTCACGATTTTCTGTCTCAGTTTTTGCAGTAGATATGCAAATGCAAATAATTAGGTGTGAATCTTAAGCTCATTTGAAAGCTTGCTGTTAAAATCATGTAGGACGTTAAAGTTAGGAATGCAGTGTTAACTCAATAAATTGTAATTTTGAAATTTGTAATAAACACATTTCAGTAATACCGATATAACCTATTTAGCTGTTCCACACTTTACACAAAGGCATTATTTGATAGGTTCTCCACATGATATTGGCAAAAATAGTAAGCAACATTTGAAATTTCTCGAAATGCATCCATTGCGTGCACACATGTATTGATAGAATCTTCCACATGTTGATGTTTTGATAGAACCTATAAAAATTGCTCGATTGTGAATTAAATGCGAAGGGCTGAAACGCGGGGAGATCACCCCGCAACACCTGTACCAGCAGCTGACCAGCTCCGCGCTCCAGCCTCGTCACCGCGACATGCTGTCGGCCATTCTGAAGCTGCACGGCTACGGCCCCACTCCTCCGAGGGGGCTCAGCCCGGTGCCGCCCCCACCGCAGCCTCAACCGCCCCAGCAAACTGCCGCACAGTTGGCATTCCAACAGCAACAACAACAGCAGCTCAGGGTTTCGCCCCTACCGCCAAACGGTGAATTTCATACTCTGTTGATATTTCGTTGTTGCACTTACCGTCGTTGCACCCTCTGTTGTCGTTGCTTTGCTTTTTGTATGCCTGTATTTGTACCTTGTTAGCAGACTAGCGAAGAAATTCCGGCCGAATACACGTAGCTCTGAGGCGATGATGATACCTGATGTTGAATGCGTAAAACAACCACATATAGAATTTGTGCCTTAACAAATAATGCCCCCTGAGAATAATTGACGCATTTGGTTTATTCGTAGCACATATCAAAGTCGTATTCAGAAATAAATAGGGTATCAATACTGTCAGTATTTTTCACATCGTTTGTAGATTTCCATCCTTGGTTGTTAAAATTAGCCTCATAAAATGGCCGCGTAACGTGCTGATGTCGCTTTTCTATAAGGGGAAAAATGAAAATTACCAACTGTCAAAAGTAAGTGAGGTTTTATGAAATACATAAATAAAAGTGCCCTATGTAACGATGTTATCATATCTACACAATATGTGACATCCAAACCTAAGATTTTTCATTTTCCAGCATCGTTGAATGGGACGTGAACATTCACGTCAGTGGGAGGAGTAAATAAAAAGTAGTAAATTAGATCTAACAGCCTCTGTTCGCCTGTCACTTTTCGGGCATTTTGCATAACTTCACTTACTTTTTGCCAGAATGACAGTTCTATTTCCCTCCATAAAGATGTGATATACTAGCGTTTCCAGTAGCCATTGTTCAGTACCATTAAGGGATAATCAAGCCAGTGAATCAGTCTGGATACCAGTTTAAATTCAAAAGAAAACAATATTTCAGACATAAAATATGAAAACACGCTGTAACCCCTAAAAACTTATCCTGTGGTAGTTAAAAATAGATAACAAAGTGATTGTTAAGTAATTTCATTTTTTTACCATACATTAAAAGTTCACCAACCTGTGCGTCAGTCTTCCACGATATCTATCTGGAGATTGAGATGAATATATACTAAGTGACATAAAAATCCGAACACCCAGTTTGAATGGTTTTATTTTAATAAAAGTTGATGAATGTATTTATCTTACTGTAAATAACAAGTGAAAAAATTTTCAGCCTTATCAGTTGGACATTCCGGTTTTTATACTGCTTTTTTTAATTCACTAACGCTCTAAAAATGAATATTTCAGCCGCAGTAAAGAATCAACGTTGGCGGATTTTGGTTCTTGACATTCTTTACGATCGGTTACGATGCCTAGAGTACGGAGACCTGTACGATTTCGTCAACTTAGTGAGTTTGATAGGGGCCGTATAGTGGGACTTCGGGAAGCTGGACTTTCTTTTCGGGCAAAGAAGTGTAGACACTGTGGTTAGGTGTTGGCTTCGAGAAGGCCGTACGCAAAGAGCAAGGGGCACTGGACGCCGCCGTAGAACAACAGACCGTGAAGATCGCCGCCTAAGATTATTGGCCTTAAGGGACCGTTTCTCCACTACCAGGTCCATTGCAAATGAAAGGTTTGCAGAACACGGAAGACCTATTGGCATGCGAAGTGTTTACCGACGAATGAGAAGTTTTGGCTTGTTTTCATACCGGCCACACTGGGTCCTCCCTTTAACTCCAGAACACCGACGTAATCGCCTTGAGTGGTGCAGACAACGGTCACTCTGGGATCAGGAATGGAACAGTATTGTCTTTAGTGACGAGTCTCGATTTTGTTTAGGCATGCACGATGGTCGTGGCAGGGTTAGAAGGCGACGTGGTGAAAGGAGGAATCCACAGTTTTTTGTTGAAAGACATGTTCATCACACTGTTGGAGTTATGGTTTGGGGTGCTATAGCTTATGGTTCCAGGTCACCTTTAATCTTCATCAGAGGTAACATGAACGCGCAGCGTTATATCCACGAAGTTCTAAAACCCCATCTTTTACCCTATCTTGACACCCTGGCAGATCCAACTTTCCAACAACATGTTACAAGAGTCGCAATAGACTTCTTTCAACATAATGATGTCGCATTGTTACCATGGCCACCAAGATCTCCCGACTTATCCCCAATTGAGCACGTGTGGGATATGATGGGTAGGAGATTGCTCAATTTGCAAAGTCCTCCTCAGACTCTAGAAGCACTTCGAGAGGAGTTGGTGGTTGCCTGGAATGAGATACCACAGGAGGACATTGACCACCTGATCAGAAGCATGCCTAGGCGCGTTGGAGAATGCGTAGCACATCAGGGTGCATCCGCACATTATTAAAGGTCAAAGGGCTTTAAAGCGGTGCAATCATTTTGAAATTTTTATCATTTACTTATGCTTCATTAAGTACTTATACAAAATTTTATTAAAATAAAACCATTTAAACTGGGTGTTCGGATTTATATGTCACTTAGTATACATTGCACATTTACGTATAATGACGTGCATTTTTTGTTAATCTGAATTCTCATTGACAATAGCCACCCAGTAAAAATTTTATAACAAAAGTGGCCCAAGAAAATCGCTGGAAATTATTTTCAGCTTCCTAAAATAGCCGCGAGGGGGAGTATTTCCAATTAAAAAAATTTAAACGCCATTGTTTTGCATCAATGAGTAATTAACGTACTGATTTATTAACTATATTATGTTGACTGCCTAATTTTCCAATTTTTTTCTCAATGTCATTTTTCCATACCTTGGGGAATGGTTGAATGTCATTTCAGAAAAAGTAATTTCTGTTGCCTGCGAAACCAAGATCATGAAAATTGGTGCAGCCAAGCCAAAGGTATATATTATTTTTTCTGAAAAAAGTTCGAAAACTAGGCAATAAGCATAATAGAGTAATGAAATCAGTAAGTAAATCACGCATTTTACGCTGTAAATAATTCCCAGCAATTTTCCTTGACCACTTTTTAACGGGTGGCTTTAAGTTAAGCCGTTGCTGAGATATAGCTGGCGTCCTTTATTATTGGGTCACCCGGTACTTCTGAAAGAAGAAATGTTCAAGCGTACGTATCTATCGATACGCAGCTTTAATTTCACCTTGTATGTATGCTTTATGTTCTGTATTGATGTTGCTGCACTTGCCTATGTAGAGATTATGCACCCACCTTTTCTGTCAGATTAATAAATATGAATATATCTGCACTTTAATGCATGATCACACTTCATGTTAATACATCAATTGTAATAACGTTTTTTCGACTTATTTACATGCAGCATATTGCGTGTCTCCGATATTGGCAACTAGTCCCAACACTCTGACAGTGCCTGGTGAGTTCATTCGTAACTCATGTTGGATAAATAATTTATATTATTTTGATTTTGAAGTCTCCAAAACTTGCGTTGAAAAAAATATACCTTTCTCTAGGAACTGAATTTTTGGCAGCATTATAGTTTATGACTTTTAGGCGAGACATTACTACTTGTGCCAAATTCATTATTCTTTCTGTATTTTGTTGCAGTGTCCACATAGTATAATCTGCTTGAATTTCACTAAATTTGAATCGTATCGGTCTAAAGATAATGTAACTGTTAAAATATCTTTTACAGCTCTTCATCAGCGTATACCGTCCCCGCGTGAATTACAAGTTCACACACAGAACATTCTTCAAAGAGCGCTGATCAAGAAAAAACTAGAAGAACAACAAGAAAATTATAGGAAGAAACAAGAATTGCAACAGGTATGGCTTTAGGTTATCGTATAATCTGCTGGAAGAGAATGCAATACTTGAAAGTCATAATTTAAACTCGCGCAGCTGACGATATTTTTGTTTTTTAATATAAAGAAAACAAATCTGCAAAATGCATATACAGTAATGGACAAAAGTATATAGACAAATATGAATATTTACCTAAATACCTTTAGAAGACGAATTCAAACTTCATTGCTCCATAAACAAATGCGTTATTAGTGGAAAAACTAAATGGAATTATCCGGGAATCCACGAATATAAACCATCTAAATTATTTACAAATAATATAAAAATTATTCATAAAAAGTTTTGAATATAAAAAAAATATTTTGGTATAACATTATATATTATAAATATTGCCAACACCAAAAAAGAAATAATGTTGAAATCATTGATATATTTAGGTCCAAAATTATATCGTACCTTACCAACATATACTAAGTGACATATAAATCCGAACACCCAGTTTAAATGGTTTTATTTTAATAAAATTTTGTATAAGTACTTAATGAAGCATAATAAGTAAATGATAAAAATTTCAAAATGATTGCACTGCTTTAAAGCCCTTTGACCTTTAATAATGTGTGGATGCACCCTGATGTGCTACGCATTCTCCAACGCGCCTAGGCATGCTTCTGATCAAGTGGTCAATGTCCTCCTGTGGTATCTCATTCCAGGCAACCACCAACTCCTCTCGAAGTGCTTCTAGAGTCTGAGGAGGACGTTGCAAATTGAGCAATCTCCTACCCATCATATCCCACACGTGCTCAATTGGGGATAAGTCGGGAGATCTTGGTGGCCATGGTAACAATGTGACATCATTATGTTGAAAGAAGTCTATTGTGACTCTTGCAACATGTGGTCGGGCATTATCTTGTTGGAAAGTTGGATCTGCCAGGGTGTCAAGATAGGGTAAAAGATGGGGTTCTAGAACTTCGTGGATATAACGCTGCGCGTTCATGTTACCTCTGATGAAGATTAAAGGTGACCTGGAACCATAAGCTATAGCACCCCAAACCATAACTCAAACAGTGTGATGAACATGTCTTTCAACAAAAAACTGTGGATTCCTCCTTTCACCACATCGCCTTCTAACCCTGGCACGACCATCGTGCATGCCTAAACAAAATCGAGACTCGTCACTAAAGACCTGTTCCATTCCTGATCCCAGAGTGACCGTTGTCTGCGCCACTCAAGGCGATTACGTCGGTGTTCTCGAGTTAAAGGGAGGACCCAGTGTGGCCGGTATGAAAACAAGCCAAAACTTCTCATTCGTCGGTAAACACTTCGCATGCCAATAGGTCTTCCGTGTTCTGCAAACCATTCATTTGCAATGGACCTGGTAGTGGAGAAACGGTCCCTTAAGGCCAATATTCTTAGGCGGCGATCTTCACGGTCTGTTGTTCTACGGCGGCGTCCAGTGCTTCTTGCTCTTTGCGTACGGTCTTCTCGAAGCCATGCCTGGAAACACCTAACCACAGTGTCTACACTTCTTTGCACTCTAACTGCAATTGCCCGAAAAGAAAGTCCAGCTTCCCGAAGTCCCACTATACGGCCCCTATCAAACTCACTAAGTTGACGAAATCGTACAGATCTCCGTACTCTAGGCATCGTAACCGATCGTAAAGGATGTCAAGAACCAAAATCCGCCAACGTTGATTCTTTACTGCGGCTGAAATATTCATTTTTAGAGCGTTAGTGAATTAAAAAAAAGCAGTATAAAAACCGGAATTTTCAACTGATAAGGCTGAAAATTTTTTCACTTGCTATTTACAGTAAGATGAATACATTCACCAACTTTTATTAAAATAAAACCATTTAAACTGGATGTTCGGATTTATATGTCACTTAGTATATATAAGAAAAAACCGAATATCATTATCACAAATGGATTAATATGAGTGTCTATTGAATACTGATATAAGCATAATGTAATTTATGAAAACTCTAACATAAATCTATTTCGCATTACTAATCTTTGATACAAAATTAATGTATTACATTTATATTATATAGATTTTTTCTAGTCCTTATCAATCAATTTATTGTAGCTTCTGTGTTATATGCGTTGGAATGATATCCACACAAGAAATTTATAAAAAATGAAATCGTCAATAACTACTGTATTACGTATCATAGATTATATAAACAAGTCTTAGGTTGAGCAAAAAAATATTTATTATAAACAAAAAATAATAAGCTCAAGAAATAAAACCAATGAGGCATACATGAATTAAGAGGCATGTACTAAGTAATTATTACCGCACAATAACAGAAAAACTAGAAGATACTATACAAAGTACTACTGATCCTTTAACAAACCTAAACCATATAAATATAGATCACGAATTTTTATGTTATCCTAGTTTATCAGGATATTTAGGAAAAACCGATTTGTTTAAAAAAGTTTTATCTTGAAAATGAAACATTTCTGGACCTATGTTTATATAAACGTTTCATCTTAAAATTACTCAATCACCTGCTGAAGTTTGACCACGTACTCAAATAACACCCTGTATATTGTCATCTCACATTTGTGATTGAAACGTGAGTGAAGAAGGATTCAATAGATGAGGTTTCATTGGCCAGACATGGCGATTACCGACATATAACCAACCACAAGATAAGTTTTAGATGTTATATTGTTTATTGAATATTCCAGCAACGTGAACGAGGCTCAAGTCCAGCTAATATCATTAGCCCCGCTTCTGGTGTGAACAACGTCCAATCATCAAGCGCCGGTTCGGGCAACAAAGGCATCGGATCTCCTACACCTTTGGCATTCACGCCTACATCCGTACTACGTAAAATGACTGCTGATAAGGATGACGCTAAAGAGGTATGTGACACTTGTGTTTCATGGGATATTCGAGCATTTCATGAAATGGCCAACTAAATTTGACTGTTAAATCGTCAAGGTTTGATTGTTTGGTTATCCAAGATTGATCAAATCGTGAAATAGAGTGTGCACAAGATATATAATAAAAATCTATTTTTTATTTAAATGGTATGTTTTCAATTACGTGTCAATACACACTGCAGAAAAACATAACAAGAAATTTCGTCAAATACAATCTGTATTAAATAACTGAACATTATAACACCCTTAACACAAATAACAATTATTTTTAAACACATTTCAGTAATCATTATAATGGGTGATTTTTTTGCTAGTATCTTTTTGGCAACACTGTTTTTGACAGATGACGCGTGAATCGTGTCTTGTGTCATTGTCAAACTTGTTCAGTTTGGTCTATAATTTAACCATGAATCGACTTACGAACGAACAACGCTTGCAAATTATTGAATTTTACTATCAAAATTCATGCTCGGTTAAGAGAGTGTATCGAGCACTGCTTCCAATTTATGGGCAATTTGGTCGGCCTACTGAGTGAGCTATTCGGAAGCTTGTGACTAAATTTCGAACCCAGTTTACATTATTGGACATTAAACCACCAACGGAGTGAGGACTGAAGAAAATATTGCGGCTGTATCCGCCAGTGTTAGTGATGACCGTGAAATGTCGATTCGCCGCCGTTCGCAGCAATTGGGCCTCTGTTACTCCACTACGTGAAAAATTTTGCGACAGGATTTGGGTGTAAAACCTTATAAGATACAGCGGGTGCAAGAATTGAAGCCACACGACCTCCCACAACGTTTCCAATTTGGTGAATGGCCGCTGGCAAAGTTGGAGGAAGATCCACATTTTTATCGAAAAATTGTGTTCAGCGACGAAGCTCATTTCTGGTTGAATGGGTACGTTAACAAACAAAATTGCCGCATCTGGAGTGAAGACCAGCCAGAAGCATTGCAAGAGCTACCAATGCATCCCGAAAAAATCACTATTTGGTGTGGATTATGGGCCGGTGGCATCATCGGGCCGTACTTCTTCAAAGACGACAATGGCCGGAACGTAACTGTGAATGGCGAGCGCTACCGTGCGATGATAACAAACTTTTTTTTGCCCAAAATGGAAGAGCTGGACTTGGCTGACATGTGGTTTCAACAAGACGGTGCCACATGCCACACCGCACACGAAACAATTGCCCATTGAGAGGCGAGTTCGGTGAACAGTTTATCTCACGTTTGGGGCCCGTCAATTGGCCGCCTAGATCGTGTGATTTAACGCCGTTGGACTATTTCTTGTGGGGCCATCTTAAGGCTAATGTCTACAGGGATAAACCAGCAAAGATTAACGCACTGGAAGCCAATATTGAAGCATTTATTCGTGAGAGAGAGTGTGCCAAAATTGGACCATGCGCATGGGCCATCTAAAACGGAGCCGCGGCCAACATTTACATGAAATAATCTTTAAACATTAAATTATATCGACCGTTCTATCGACTCAAATAAAGATTAATCGTTTTTTCAAATTTTTTGTGTTTTTTTTTTAAATCAAATCCTATACCTCTTAAAAAATCACCCGTTACAAATCAATAATGTTGAGTGATGCAGTTATTCTATCTATCAACCCATGTATTCCTCAATACTGTATGGTTCCAAGTCTATCAAACTCTTTTAGCTTCCTTTTAAAGATATTTTCATTCGTGACAATTTGTCAGTGTTATCCAATTTGTTGTAAAGTTTAATTCCGATGTAGTAGGGACCCTTCACGTACAAGGTTAATATGTGTTTTGGGGAAGAGATATTTGTTCGAGTATAAATATGACTAGTGATTTAAAACATAGTTTCATAGATGTATACTGCGTACATTGTTAATATTTAAAGGCATGTTATACGAGGTTTGTTCGGAAAATACGTATTAAAGTGGAATAACAACTTTATTTTACAATTGTTCAGGTGTTTCAATATGGTCTCCTTCAAAGTACTCCACCTGAGACAAGATGCACTTCTGCCAATGCCGTTTCCACTGTTGATACGATCGCTGAAAATGTTTAGTTGTGTTCCACATCCCTCAAGTACCGCCCCCGAAGCACCATTTTTCATTTTGGGAACAGGAAGGGGCTAAATCGGGTGAATAAGGCGGGCGTTCTATCACGGTGATTGAGATTCGGGTCGAAAACTCACCCGCAACGATAGATAGTGTGAGCAGGCGCGTTGTCGTGATGAAGGATCCACCTGCCCCCTTGTGCCGAATCCGGTCGAACTCGGGAAACACGACGGACAAATTCCTGGTGAACAATGCCCCGAGAATCAAAGAAAACAATGAATATTTTTTCGACTTTTTTGTTCTCGGTTCCCCTGCTTGCTTCCATTCTATGCTTTGAGATTTCAGCTCCACATTGAATTCGTAGAACCAAGACTCGTCTCCAGTGATGACCCGGTTGAGAAAGTCCAATCTTTCGCGCACAATTTTTTCATTTCAAGTTTTTCGAGGACGATTGTTTTGGAGATTGACAGTTCCTCAGCTATCATTCTAACTGTCAATCTACGGTCCTTAAGAATACAGCCTTGAATTCGTTCAATATTTCCGTCAGAGCTCGATGTGTAGGGGCGTACTGAGTGTTGGCCATCTTTCACATATTCAAATGTAAGTAATGTTAATGTAATTATTTTGCGATTTGATCAAACATGCTTGACCATTTCATGACGTAACCGCATCGTAAAAATTAGGTTTTACGATCTGTTCTGAGAACTACCTTAACAGGAAATTTATCACACCTAGAACATAAGGAATTTTCTAATTTCAATAGCTCGAACACTGAATTAGTTCTAAGCATTTTTTATTTGGGACAGGAAAAAACAGTGAACAAAAAAATCCTTATTCAAAGGGAAAAAGAACAAACAAAACAACATTAATGGTAACTGCTTAAAAATTACTTAACGTTGGCCCACTTCAATATTTGTACCAAAATATGCCTGTATAAACTAAACGTGACGAAACTATTTACTTCTAAAACAATTTATTTTCTCAAAAACATTTTAGATACACTCTAGTCGTAAAAAATACATATTTGAAATCACTTGGACCTATAACTAATAGAACATCTGAACAAATAAACAATGTGCGAATAAATGCGCGAAGTTAACAAAGCAACAATTGAAAACTCACCTTGCAAGTGCTAAATCCCAGTTTGTGGGCCTCTCTATGAGTTGTGGACCTCGAAATTCTCCTTCCAACAGCGTCACTCCACAGAGCACTTAATCGTACATGATTGACACGCCTGTTTTTCACGATTATTCTTCTTAATGTTCTTCGGTCGGCATTTGTGATATTACTTTTTTTCACATATCGTGGCTTAATATTAACTGAACCAGTTACGTTATATCTTGTAACAATATTTCTCACACTGTACCGCGATAAGTTTAACAACGTTGCAATTTCTGAGTTTGATTTCCCAGAATTAAAAAATTTAATTATCGGTAACCGAATTATTTCACTAATAACCTTTCCTCTACCCATTTTGAAAACCTTAATTACCCAAAACTATTTTATTTTTCCACCTATGCGCTATAGACTTATTTTGCATTGAAATTAAAATAGGTTGATATGCTGTAATTGCAACCTGTGTTATTTTTATGCTGCAAATTTGATTAGGAAGTGATAAAGTTGGTGTTTTCTACTATATATTATCAAAAGATTCATTGTTAATATTTCAAACCTATAACACCCTGCTACATTTTTATTATTTGTGTTTGATAAGAAAAAAACTAAGATTTCAATAGTTGAGCCAACTGAAGTTGTAAGGGGCTCGTATATAGGTAACTTATTATTGAATCTTGTTCAGAATTTTTGTGCGCCTAAACAAAATATCGATTTGTATGGAGAAAAATTAGACAAGACCATTTTTATTTGTAAATAGATCGGTAAAAATGGCCAGGAGGCTACACAAGCAGCAGCTGTGGCTGCCGCCATCGCCAAAGCTGGCATGTCTCAAGGCAGGGCAGTCACGGGGGCGAGACCCGCAGCTCAACAGCAAGTACAACAGCAACCGCAGTGGGGCGGTATGCAGTTCGGTGGGAGCGTTAAGCAGCCAGGTAAGAGTTCACTTCTCATCTAAAGTCCACAGAGTTATTAGTAATGTTCTAGCATCACCCGATTGTGAATTCCTTCAACGCGCATGCGTTGTCAAAAGACTAGTTTCAAACGTTTTCGGATTTGATTTTGCTAGAACACATATTTTTTCAAAATGCGTTTAAGTTGACAGTGACAGCATCGCATTTGGCATTTAGAAATTTTTCATGTAATTCTGCTTTTTCCTCACTGTTAGGAGATTGAATTAAAGTTCATACTAAGGTTTTACACTTGATTAAACAAACGTCTTATTGTGTAGAATGAACAACTAATCCATACAGTAGCGGACAAAAGTTTGGAAACGTTCTTAGTAATTTTTAAAAAGTGTGCTAATTTTGTATTCTTTATTATTGACTATTTTTTTCTCAGATAGTTTGCTTACAGTCTTGAGGATACAAATGACAATTTGTGTTTGCTGTTGTACTACAGACTAGCATTAAAATGCCTTCAAATTATTTTATGACCAAATTTTTTTTTACAAAAATAAATAGAAATACAATACAAAAAGATTTACAAAATACTGGTAGCATAGCCTTTAGCATTCAACACTGCCTGACATCTGCTGCTCCTAGAAGACACCAGTTTTTTACAGACGACTGTTGGGATATTTTGCAAAATATTTATTACATGATCAAACAAATTGTTCCTATTTTTAAGTTTTTCTTGTAACTTGACTTTTAACATGCTCCTAGAGATGTTCTATAGGGTTTAGGTCCGGGGATTGAGAAGGCCATGTAAGAACATAAAAATGTTTAGTCTTAACCAGTCATTTACGAATTTTGAGGTATGCTTGTGGTCATTATCTTGCTGGAATGTCCATTGTAAAGGACTTTCTTCTTCAGCAAAAGGGAGGATGTATTCACTAAGAATATCTTTGTCAAGTTTGGCACCTGGGCCGGGTTGCTGTTGATCCGTGTTCTTGTCTCTTACTAATAATTTTCGAAATCGTCCCTTTGTTAATTTTTATTCTTTGAGAAATGTCAACATTTCTGACACCACTTCTAAATAATTCAATCACTTTATCTCTTAAATCTTTTGAAAATTCTTTTACTTTTGCCGTTCTCACTGATGTTAATATTTACCGCACGCAATATCATAGTATCGCAGAACGAATAAATACGCAAAACTGAAATGTTTCCATACTTTTGTCGTTACAGAACTGTGGTATTTAAAAGAACACGTGTTTTTATTTAGATAAAGATAAACCTTGTATTAGTATGGGAGACAAAGGTAGACTTTAATATTTATATTATCTGTTCCCTCGCAGTTTTAATTTAGGTATATGAGATAGTTCAGAGTAATGTTAATATTTGTTTCCAGACTTTTTTCCGCTACTGTATGTAACTTTGTTATGTTGTAGTTTTAAGTTAGCTTCGTCATTAAGATTGATTCTATTCTCCAGACAGTAAGCGTATTTATTTACCTATGTGTGGCAGAAATTACTCAACAGTTTTAGTTTTAACTGTCGTTAAGCGCGCATATTGTTCAACAATGTTGACACTGTTGTGTGTGAGACAAATTGCTTGCATAAAGGTACATTTTGTATTGCTATGGGTTGAGTATGAAAAACCTCTTTATTAGCGCATTATGAATCCAAGCTTGATATTGATTGCCGTATTTCGTCACAATATTTTTCTTGAATGATTTAACAGTATTGTTTTTTTTTAGTTGGCCGTCCAATTGTGAAGGCTAATAACAACTACCAGTCGCAGGCATCACAGGAATTCTTCAGTCAGCACCAGCAGCAACAACAACGTATCTTCAATCAAGCAATGCAGGCAGCTGTTGCAGCTCAAACTCAAAATCAACAAAGTAAGTTGCAATATCATCAGGTTTTTTTTGTCATTAATTACCATCTCAGATGCTCAATAAAGAAATTTGCCGAACTTCCACTGTCTCGGTAACAAAATGCTATCGTGAGATTATAAATAATAATTTAAAAGTTAGGAACTAGATTAGTTGACACCTGTTTCCAGATGGTAGTTTTTCAGCCACGTGGTAAAATATTTTCACGTCATTTCAAATTTTTCAAGTAACATTATGAACGCTAGTTGACCCTTGGGGTCTTTCCTCTTCAACACTCATGTTCACGTGTTTTTTTCTTTTTATGTCAAAGTGAATAAATCATAACTTTTGAAGATTCAAAGGATAGAAAGATTAAATTTGTTGCAGTGGATGCTGTCCGAAAACAAATAGGCCGTGATCAGTATGGATACCAGTCGTCAAGCCAACAGTTCGTGCAACAGCAGTTGACTCAACAACAGCTACGTGCTCAGCATCAACACAGACCAGCCAATCAGCAAACAGCGCAGGTCCAGCAACCACAACAGCAACAAGGCAACGGAAGAGACAACGCCTGGCAGCAGTTCCTCAATTCTAATCAACAGTCACAAGGTATACATATATGTTAGTCTACGGGTATTTCTCAACAAATTTAGAAATTTCATTTTGCATTTCTTGAAAAAAAATAATGAAGATGTATCCTTTTTTTGCAGAAATATAAAGTTTTACTTTAGTGAGGTTCATTGAAAATGGAGGTCCTCCATACTTTTGTGTATAACATGTAGAAAAATGACTTTTAAAAAACTATGAAATGAGGGAATAACCGATGGGGAATGATTTTTACAACAATTTGACGCTGAATTTCAATAAAAAACAAATTTATTTATTAATAGATGTATTGAGATTTGTGCTTTAGAGAGCTTAGATAGTCCTTCTTCGCTAGGCACATCGTCGTATTTTCATCCTTCTCTAAGAAATGAACATCACCCTTAACTTTCAGCATTTTGGAGCTAACGGTACAGTTCTTTTTGTACGTTTTTGAAAAATGTTTCGATCTATATAGCAATTTGTATCTTTTGTACTTATCTGCAGCTTCAAGATTTTGTAATATTTTTTTCTCTTCTCCATGTTTTCTTCCAAGATCTTCATAGATATTCTTGAGGTCCGTTGACAGTGCTTCTCCGAAAATGAGTCTTTTTCTTTCAACGTCAGGAACTTGTATATTCTTTAAAAGCGAAGACACTTTAGTTGCTGGAGAGTTTGGGTCAGTATTTTTAGTTTTCAATCTCGAACACCTCTTCTTATATTTTTCGCTAAGCTTGACTGCGTACCTTACTTTATTTTCCAAACTTTTAATCTTCGCGTACAGAATAGTTCGCCGCTTGCGCATTCTACGTCTATTGAGAGCAGATACATTCTCTGCTCTGTGCTGTAAAGATGGTGCAGGACTTGATGGGGGTGTTTCTTCAACTATTCTCTGTAAATTTGTTTGTAATGTAGCTCGCTTTTCCCTATAAACTTTACTATTCTTTTTCCATTGTTTTCGTTTTTGGCTAGCTTCTCTTCCACTCAGAACTTGACTTTTAATCTTTCTTTTTCACGTAAAGCTTCTAGAGACTTCTTTTTTAAATTCCTTTCTTCTTCACTTAACTTCTTCATGTTCCCCATTCTTGGTATATGGAAAACTCCAGCCCAATTTGTCGGAATTCGACATAAAATTTCCGTTTGATTTCAGCGTCTCGCTCCTCGACAAACAGCACCGTGACGACAAACACGACTACCTCATCCGCTTCAGCGGTGAACAGAAACAGCAACAGCGGTGCCATATCGCCGGCGACTGGCAATCAGCTGGCGCGTTGGTTTTCGCCTGATCTGCTAGAGCGAGCCAGAGGCGGAGAGCTGCCCAGCACTGCAGGCCTGGGCCAGCATGCCATGTCCCTGGAGGAGATTGAAAGGCAGACCGCACCGCCGGTACACAATTAAGCTCTAATCAAATGAAAAAGGTAGGTTTTACAAAGATACTGTATCAGCAGCACTGTTTTGTTTGTTTTAGATTTATTTAGCAGCAATGCTACAATGTCCGTAATATCCATATTACACAGTACAGTGCTCTCTCGATAATCCGCCCACTACTGTAATCCGCCGTTTTTGTAGCATCGACACCAACTCGACAATCCGCCCATTCTGAACATTTAACTTGGTAATCCGCCGTCTCTGCTTTGAGAATTACTGCGAATTACCAGCTCTCCGCAGTCCGCCGTACGAAACAACAGCGTGCAGACGTGTGTACACTTATTTGGAAAAAGTGGCGGCAACTAGTACAAAACGTAAACATGAGACATTGACTTTAGTAAAAAAAAAATGGTGAAGATGTTACCACTGTTTGTACTGTCTGGTCTGAGGAAGCCTTGGAAAGTATTAATATGACTATCAAATGGACCGAAGAAAATAATTCTACACTGGTTACATTAACTTCATTGAGACGACTCCGAGAAGATGTAATTGCTAAAATCTACCATGGGAAAAGACAAACTACTTTGGAAAAGTAAATTCAAAATACATAAATTGTGTACACATGATATGTACCTATGTCAAACAAAACAAACCCAATAAATCGGTACAGAGTATGAAATATTAAGTCTGTTATTTATGGAATACAATATGTAAATACAGGGTGTCCGCAAAGTTGGGGTTTTCCTTTACACGACGTGTAGATCTTGAAAACATAAGCAATTTTTCTTAGTACCATATACACCAATGTCTTAAGGGAACCGAGATAAAGGGCTCTGCAACATCAAAAATATCTGAATACCGTCCTGTAGCCGCGACATCACGGACTGGTACAAGGTCACTGGCTCAACCTGACGACAGAACTGGGTCGGCGTCAGTGTGTCAGGTCAGTATTCAACCTTACGGTCACGCGTGTAGAGGTAATCGCGTAGACGAGAATCCCGCAACAAGCACTAGAGACGTGACTAGAGAAGTGCTAGTATCAAAAACTAAAGTGTGGCAAACGCTGCGTGAAGAGGGGCTGTATCCGTTTCACGTCCAACGTGTACAAGCCCTTCAACCTGACGATTTTCCAGCAAGAGTGCGGTTTTGTGAGTGGTTGTTGCATCAACATGACAATAATCCGGATTTTTTGAAGTGCATATTGGTGACAGACGAATCTACGTTCACGCGTAATGGGGTGAATAACTTTCGCAACACTCATGTTTGGTCAGTAGAAAATCCGCACGCTGTCCGTCGCTTCCATTCGGGGGAGGGACTCCATTCTCAAAGCCTGCACCGATGCTTGGCTACGTCGTGCACGCACCTGTGTTTTTGAATCAAACGGCGATAACTTCGAACAATACCTATAAAGTACGTTTACATAAAAACTGAAAACGCGGCAACGCCGTCATATTTGTTACCTCTGTTCGTGGTCTGCACCACCCCCTGCGTCTGCTCGGTAGCGCATCGGCTGATTTCATTTTCTGTTGGAGCGGTATGATTTCGGGCAGAGACGTACTTAGCCCTTCTCGTCAACTGGGGAGTGAGTACTTTTTCCTTTATTTTTTTTTACTTGGTCGCCCTCGTTTCACTACACATTACCTTTGTTATCTCAAAGGTAGTTGTTTCTGAAAAGGAAAACCCCAACTTTGCGGACACCCTGTATATACATACGACGTACATCGTGTAATTCATTATTCTCGGTAATCCGCCGTTTTTGCCAATCCGCCGCTAGCCTGGGTTTTATAATGGCGGATTATCGAGAGAGCACTGTATATCACAAAATATATTATGTCTTCAAGACTACATATTTTTATACAAAATTTCACTACTATGAATTCTGGTTTTCCATGTGACATTTTTTCAATTTCCCTTTGAACATTTTCAAACTGACACACATCTTGATATCATTACTTAATTTATTAAATTTGTACAATTCCTTTTGAAATACTGACTTGCTCGTTATATTGCTACTGCAGTTTTGTAAATGAAAGTCTATACTTCTTCTAGTAGAATAATTGTGGCACTCATTGTTCAATACAGCAAAATTTGGTAGATGATTTTTTAATTTGAATATGAAAATGAAAACCAAGTATGCTATATTTTTGATATTTAACCATTTCAGCATAACATTTTTTCTAGTATATTTATTTTTATTTAAGATGATTCAGATAGCGTTATTTTTTAATATTTGTAATTTCGAAAATACAGTTTTATTTGCTGTGAACAAAATAGTCGAACAATAACAAATGAGGAAGAATGATAGTGTTGTACACAATTTTTTTAGAATAAACGCTTAGGCTGTGCGAAATTCTATAACAGTAATTTATTTTCTTGGATATTTTTGAAATAATATATTCATAGTGCCCTTCAAATTTTAATTTACTGTCTATGTATATGCCCAAATATTTAAATGATTCGATTGACCCATTTTTTACGTTTTTCTTCTTGTAACAGTTAAGGCAATTAACTATGAATACTATATACGAGGGATGTCTTTTACACGGTAGTTTTAAATGACTTCATTGTTTTTCGAAGTATTCTCCACGAAGATTAATATACATCTGCATGCGCTAGAACCAATTTCCGAAGCACTTAGTCCACTCGTTTGCTGGCAGATCCAAAACGGCATTTTTGAATGCGTCAACTGCTTCTTCTGGTGACTGGAACCTTTGACCACGCAGTGTGTATTTAATTTTCGGGAAAGTAAAGAAATCGCTAGGACTTAGATCGGGACTATATGGAGGATGGTCCAATAATTCCACGTTCTCTTTCGTTAAATACTGCCTTGTTTTTTGGGCTGTGTGCGAGCTTGCAATGTCTTCGTGGAGGATGATTCTTCTTTCGGGGTTGATTTTTCGAAGCTCGGTGATGACTTTTGGCAAACAAATGGTGGTATACCAATCCGCAGTAACAGTTCTTTGCTCATTAAGAATTGTTGCAGTATGACCCGCTTTTGACACAAATGTCGCGACCATCTTTTTCGAAACACTTCGAGAACGGATGACTTTTGTTGGCTTTTCTTCACCTTGGAACACCCAAACAGCCAACTGTCGTTTATTTTCTGGTTCATAACAGTAAATCCACGATTCATCACCACTAACAATGCTGTACACATTTTTTGAGTTTCTGGAATTGAAACGGTCAAGCGTTTTTTGACACCAATTAACCTTGGTTGCTTTCTGCTCTTTAGTCAACAGGTGGGGTATCCAACGAGAAACGAATTTTCTTACTCCTAATTCTTCATGTAAATTTTTTTTAATTGAGGTCTTTGAGATCTTCAAGGACGCCTCAATCTCGCGATATGTCACATGTCTATCTTCAATGATGAGCTTGCGCACATCATCGACGTTTTCCTGGGTGACTGCCGTTTTTGGTGCACCCACCCTGGAATCGTCTCTGAAAGTTGTAATAAATTATGGCGCGAAAACGTTCTCGGTGGAGTTCAATTTTTCTAATGACTTGGCGACTCTTAAAAATTCACTGTAGTGAGAACACTGCACGTATTGTTGTGAAACTTTGAATTTAAGTTTACTAAAGAGTGAGGTTAAGATTTAGTACTGACGTTAGATCCGCGGGGCCTGCTATGTTTCTATATGCAAAACTTAGAAAACATCCCTCGTATATATATATATATATATATATATTAAAGTATCATCAGCAAATAGTTGAATTTTGCAGTGTTGTAAAATATCAGGAATATCGTTAATATATACTAAGTGACATATAAATCCGAACACCCAGTTTAAATGGTTTTATTTTAATAAAAGTTGGTGAATGTATTTATCTTACTGTAAATAACAAATGAAAAAAATGTCAGCCTTATCAGTTGGACATTCCGGGTTTTATACTGCTTTTTTTTAATTCACTAACGCTCTAAAAATGAATATTTCAGCCGCAATAAAGAATCAACGTTGGCGGATTTTGGTTCTTGACATCCTTTACGATCGGTTACGATGCTTAGAGTACGGAGACCTGTACGATTTCGTCAACTTAGTGAGTTTGATAGGGGCCGTATAGTGGGACTTCGGGAAGCTGGACTTTCTTTTCGGGCAATTGCAGTTAAAGTGCAAAGAAGTGTAGACACTGTGGTTAGGTGTTGTCAGGCATGGCTTCGAGAAGGCCGTACGCAAAGAGCAAGGGGCACTGGACGTGTAACTCTTCCTTTCCGAAAAAAGTCCAGAAAAGATGGAATGCAATGAAGATTCCAACTTTTCTGCACAATCACAGAAAGGGGGTTACCATTAGCTTCCGGTAGCTCAGTCGGTGGCATGAAGACATCTACAGGCGTGTAGCTATATGTCGACCATGGCATGGCTAGAGGATAGAAGAACAAACAGAACACAAAAATTTAACAGATTTTATTTAACAAAAAAAAGGCATTTTCATTACATAACAATTTTACAAAAATAACAAAATAAGTTTTTAACGCTATCGACTTATCTTTTGCTGGTCCATTTTGACTCGACTGAAGCCAGGATGGCCAGGGGCGTGAAGGGGAGGTCCCAGTTATGAGGGGTGACCTCCATATAGTGGCTTCACAACCAGTTGTAGGCGAAGTTAAAGGCGATGGCGCTGCCAAGGTACATGCATGGGTGAAAATATTGGCCAAGGCTAGGCAAAGTGAAAGGGAAAGAGAAAGGGGGTGGCCCCAATCATTTTTGTCCTATACGGACACACATTCTAGAAATCTAGCACATGGTGCTATATAACCTTGTGCTACTGAGAAGAAATTTCTAGCCGTTGTTCGATCGGCGGCTCAGGTGAAAAGGAAGCGCGAGGAAGATCGCAGATCAGGAACTCCGCATCAAGCGCTCCAAGCGGAAAATTTTCCAAGCAAAAAAGCTAGAGATGGGATTAATGAAATGATAATCGAGAAGTGATTTAATAAATACGATCGGACGGTGAAACCGTTACACTCGCCCCAACTTAACCAAAAAAAAAAAAAAATCGAAGAAGCATTTAAGAATTTTTTTTTTTTTTACTAGGAAATTGAAAGTTATCACGGAAG